CTACCTACCTACCTACCTACCTACCTACCTACCTACCTACCTACCTACCTACCTTTTCTCCTGAATTGCCTAAGGCTTAGAAGCTGTATTAAAAAATTTAGATCAATGTCAATAACCTGTTCCTACACTTATTTTCTGGTAGTCTTATGGTTTTATGCCTTATACATTTACCCATATTGAATTAATTTGTATTTGTGGTGTGAAAAGATTCTAGTTTCCTTTTCAAGCTGGGAAATCTGCTGTATAGGCACTATGTTAAGTTTGCCAACCTTTCTGTCTGGTCAATACTATCTAGACTCCTCCTGTAGGACTGCTATCTCTGCTCACTCAGGATTCTTTGCTGGAGTCAGTGCTAGGGCTGAGAGCCTAGCTGGGCTCTTCACTGGCATTTCTTACCATACCTAACAAGAGCAGTCTGAATCTTCTGAGTTTATTCTTAGGACATCTGAAAAGACTCTTAGGTAAAAGGCTGAGTTAAGCATTTGCAATGGAGCTGTTGGTAGGTTTGCTGAGCTCTCCTGAAATTACTACAAGGCAGCCTGAAAACAAACAAACATACAAACATCTCTCAAAGATCCTGAATATCACAAACTTGTCGGTGATTACAGAATTTGAGTAATAGAAATAGTAGTATCAGAAATTTAGGGCCAGCCTTAGCTTCACAGTGGATTTTTGATAGCCTAGACTGCATGACAGACTGTTTTAAAAGATTAAAAGAAAAAAAAAAAAGACCCAAAGTCCAACAAATGATGGTGAAATTAACCAAATAGTGAACACGTTTATGTATAGTATTTTGGTGAACTTCCATTTCCACCTGATCGCTAAGCTCCCTATAGTAGAATTTAAATTTAACATTTTTCTGGCTTTTGCCACATTGCTGGCCCATGCTGCCTGACCAATTGAGAAGATATTTTTGCATCCTTACTAATCCTGGCTATTGCACAAACATTTAAAACAAATTCAATTGTCTCCCTAGCAGCCACTCCACTGGAGAGAACTCCCAAATGCATATAATGGTATAAAAACGCCTGAGAGCTCTCTTCTTCCAGCCCCAGCTATGTGAATGTCCTCCACCGAAGAAGAGACATGAGAGAGTATAATTTTAGTTTCTGTTCATTGCCTTTCACCTGACAGAACAGAGCAAAGCCTTGATTGTTGTCATGGCAGTTCTGGTGTTTCAGTTCAGAATTGCTTGGCTCCATGTTCCTAGGCCTGTAGTGAGGCAAAACACCATTGTAGAAGAGCATGGTGATGCAGAGCTGAGCACACAATGGCAGACAGGTGGCAAAGAGACCAATAAAGCTTTTTATAGAGGTGTGTAGATTACTATGGGCAGAAAATTTCAAACTACCTTAAAAATACATAACCATTAGTAGCTACCGATATATTATGAATGCTTTTTATTGTTTACACTTTTATTTGCATTTATTAACTGCATACAGGAGATTTCTTTTTTTTTTTTTACTTTTTTTTATTGTTTATTATTATTAGTTACATGTTATTAACTCTGTATCCCACCTGCATAGGAAGAGGTTTCTTGATGACATTTCCATATGTAAATATGTGTTCTCAGATCTTTCCTTTAGTTTCATGTTTTTCCCCCAGAAGGAAATAAAGAAAATGTGCTGTTTTCATTGTTCTGTGGTGTGTATACGTGAATTATTTTACACAGTATGAAGATCTCCAGTTTTTTTTTTCATGACACAATTTCATTCTTCTGAAGGGATAAAATGAGATCAGAAGTAGGAATCAGTAATTCTGAAAAAAAAAATACTCTTGTCAGTTTGATTGTTTAAAAAAATAACCATTTTACACAATTATAAAACATTTAAATGACTTAAAATTTTTATAAGACCTAAAACTACAAATAAAATGAAATGAATAAATGTAAAAGAAAAACAATTTCATTTTTCATTACAGCTGAGTAAGACTTCATTGTTTATCTATACATTTTATTCATCTACTGAAATACATCTTGGCTGTTTCTGTAATTTACCTATTATGATTAGTGCCATATTATATTTTAAATAGAAAAATTAAAGCAGCAGAGAATCATGTGCTTTTTATAATAGTGAAAGAGATTAACAAAGGACTTTTATTGCTATAAAAGAAGAAAAGAATGGTCAAATAGAAGATAAGTTAAGGAAGGGGTTTAGGAGAGGCACAAGAAAGTGAAAAAAGCACATGGTAATAAACTTTGTGCCCATGATTCAACACTATTTTGAAAAAAAGAAAGAAAGAAAAATTGAAAGAAAACACAAGAAAAACTAGGTTTAGGAGTAGTAACAAGCTTTCTGGTTTTCTACAAGGTTATAGGGAATACAGACTAGGTTTCTGGGGTCAACCTCATCTCTCACCTTCCTGTTTTCTCAAAGCACTTAAAATCAATTTATGTGGTTTAGTCTCAAATTTATTCCAATTTCAAGATAATGATTGCTATGGCTATTCTTGGCTGTCTATATTGGGTATTAGCATATAGGCAGCCTGCTTCTGTGTTGCCTAGTTACCTATGATGTCATCATATGTCACCCACTAGGTGTGGTGGCAGGTATGGTTCTCAGCTGCGCATGCATAAGCTATAAAAGTACCAACCTGCCTCTTTGTCTCTCCCACCACGAGCTGCCTATAATCTGGATTCACCACTAGGCTTTCTGGCTAATAGATTTAATATAAATTCAAATGTAATTTTAAAATTGCTTTATACTGTTCTATTATATTATTGGTTCTAAAATTCATAACTCAGCAGTTACTAAGTAAAAATTTTTGCCTAGATACCCTCAAACTATAATACAATGTTAAAACTTGGTCATTGTGCTATATTTTCACTACCAAAAAAGTTCGATAAGCTTGGTCTTATTTTCTGAGTATGGTAATATTATTATGCACCTATTGTCAATCTCAAAAGACAGGATTCTTCCCTCCTCCCTGGTTTTGGGACCCTCTTCCCTGGCTACTCGATCCCTACCTCCATACATCCAACACCTGCAGATTGAGGAGTTGGTTTCCATGGTCAGCACAAATGTTCCCCTTTGTCTGAGAGACTGACCGGCATCTCTCCACTTCACTGGTGAGCGGAGGTACCATCTCTTCTCACTGACCCTCATACAGACACCTTCCCTTGGGTGAATAATCTTTTCCTACTGACATGTCTCTCAGCTTTCCCTTTCCTTTGGCACGTCCCTAGTACTAGGTGAGGAAGTGTCTCCCAGGAGTCTTCCCTGTGCCCCCCAGCACTGCGTGTGATGACCTCCTTTGCCAGCTTGTACCCTAGTACCTCCGGTTCTTCTGTACTTTGTGGGGATGCCCCAAAGACTGGCAGAACTGACTTTTCTCTTTTCACCCATGGGAATCGTGTCTTCCACCATAACCCCGGGCTCTTCTCTGAGATGTCTTCTAAATAATTTTAGATTAAATGCCTACCACCCTCTCTAAGGGCCTCTAGGCTTACACTCTACTGCAAGCAAACTTGGCCTTAATTCCTTAGATGACAGATCCAAAGCAAAATCTTTTAAGGTATTGTCAGCAATCAGGAAAATGGAGGTTCCCTCGCGTAAATAGAGGTTCCTGTGTTCAGGTCTTTTCTTCTGTCTCTATTTGCTCTCCCAAAAAGTTTCAAACATATACCTAATTTTTTTTTTCTCCGTAACCTACTTAACTTTGTCTTCTGCCTATATATACTTTCCAGTATCCTGCCATATCCACATGTTTCCTACATCCACTACAGTGCCAAAGCAGCTACCACAGGTGTTCCAGTCTGACCTCTTTGAGGTCAAAAAGACACAGCCTTTTGATTCAGATCTTGAAGTAGGAGACACACCTTTAACCTGGGCCACACCTTCTGCTGGAAGCCTATATGAAGACATAGAAGAAGGAAGATTTTGTTCTTTGCCTGCTTGCCCTCCCCTCGCTGGCACAGCCATCCCTTCACTTGCATCGGAGCTTACTTCTTTGGGATCCAGCATATACAGAAGACCAGCTGAGACAGCCAGCCTTGTGGGATTGAGCAGCAACTGAATTCCTGGACTTTCTGTTCACAGCTTGCTACTGTTCGATCAGCTGGACTGCAGCCTGTAAGTCATTCCAGTAAATTCCCTTTATATACACACACACATTATGTATGTTCTGTGACTCTAGAAAACTCTGACTAATACAATGATTAAATCATACATATGAATACAGAGGAGACTATATATAGAAATATAAACAATGGTTTGGTTACTTGAACTCATCAAGTGTTCCGTTTTTTCTCTATCCCTAATTCCTAAGATGCTTTTAAACTCTTTTCAACTTTTTTTCCCTCTCTTTTACCCATTCCATCTCAGCTTGCTGGTAAATTCTTTGAGAACTGGCAACTCATGAAATACCTGGAAAATTGACAAAGAATAGTGTAGTGTCATATCCAAATGACAGATGCTTGTACTTAATAAATATATTATCAGAGAGTTACACATACACAAAAACACAGAAGACCATAAATTTTGGAAGGCTGCCTGGGGCAAAATGAACACATCCAGTCAAGGAGCAAAGTGACAAATGCGTCCTATTAAGTCACTATTGTCAAGAGGTTTTTCTCTTCTACATTCCACTCCAACAGTGTAACACTGTATATCACATAAGGAATTGGAGGTCAGGCTGGCCAAAAGAAAAACTAGAACTCAAACACAGTAAATTATTTTAAGTACTCCAAATATAATATCATTCATAGAACACAAATAACTAGACATATAGGAGAAACATATGGTCAACCTAGTTTTAAAAGAATTTTGATTGGTTACATTATCTGTTTCCCTCTTCTGCTGCCTTCACTTTGTTAGGCCAGGGTTTGATTAATTTTAGGTGTATTACTATGATGTCATATTATGCAAATACAGAGGAAAAGATAAACCAGATCTAACTCACAATGGCCAAAAGATTCTGAAGATAGGATTATGGTGTTTTTCCTTAGTAGTTTAAGTAGCTATTTCTTCCTCCTAAAGACTAATTTCCTGTTTACCACTCAACCTCATTTACATTGGATTCTACTGAGTCTTCCTAGCAACAAATTCAAATTTGTATGTGGCCCCTCCATTGATAAACATCAACAGGGGGAATTATGACATTTCTGGAAAACAAAACAAAACAGAAAAAACAAAACAAAACACAAGAAACACTGAACCTTCTGCAAGGCCAGTTACCTGACTAAAGCCTTCAGTGCTTGTGGGGAGGCTGGGAAGTTTCAGACCCTGAATCAAATGACAATTGATCTTGGGCCTTGTTTAGCCCACTCAATAGGCATTTGTTACCAACCTCTTTAGGTGATCCAACAATTTTGTGATCATTAGGCACATCTTTTGGAATAAACAAACTGATAGCTCCCACCAACAGAACTCCTAAGAATGCTGTCAGCTAGCAGCTGAGACCTACAGCTAAGATTTCCCTGCCCCATTTTACCCAGCCTATCTCACATTCTCAATGTATGTGGGAACTATCTTAATTTATTACTTTTGTTGTTCCTGTTCTGTTACTTTAACATCTTCATAAAACTGCTGTTATATTAGAACAAAGAACTGCAGGTAACCTCACTCTTATTTGGCTTTAGACTAAACTTTTATTGCCTTTGAAAAAAAATACTGGAATTAAACACTCCCAGTAACGACTTCCTGCTACCAGTTCAGCTAACCTAGACTTCTGTTTCTCTCCATACACACCTCTGTATTCTAAAAACGTGTCATCAATCTGATCCAGTGTTTTGCCACATTATAACTATTTCACCAGAAATACATGTTTTTATTTATTTGATCCTTATCTATGATTACTGCAGAAGTCTGGGAACACCAGAATGCCATCCAAACCAAGGCATAGAGCTGACCCAACTGATGACCTCTGGATACCCATTTTCCCCCACCCCTTCCTTCCTTAACAACAACAACAAAAAATTCAGGTAGCCCAGGCTGGCCCTCAACTCTACATAGCTGAAGGTGTCCTTGAACTCTTGATCCTCCTGCATCCATTTCCCAAAGTACTGGGATAACAGCTGTGCAACATCAAGCTTGGCTTCTCTTTCTAAACAGATATATTAGAAAACAATCTGCACAACTGTAATTCTCTCACACAAACTTCTGGACTCTTTCAAGGTCTCAAGAAGCACATAAGAAGGGCAAAGACTCTTGTTCCTCAGTTCTGTAGGTTAAATCTCTGTGCTAAACTCAAACTAAAAAATTCAGCGGGACTAACCATTTCTACACTGATCAACAGGCTGTACTGTTCAGTTCTCTGATTCTTTTGAACTCTGGAGTCCTCTTTTTAAAACAGCCAAACTGTGTTTGCCCAACCCCCTGTCCCTACTGTTCGAAGTTACTGATTAAAATGTTTTAACCACCTTGATCTATTTTTTATATCATCTACCTAGGGCTTAATATGAGTCCTTTCTCTGTGATAAAATGATTCCAAAGGAGTAAAGGGGCCTGTCCTTTCAGTCGTCTTCCCACGTACCTCTTTACAGCCTGTGCCGTAAAACAGGGGTTGGAATATAATTTTTAGCTTTGTTTCTTTAAAAAGCACATGCCATAGTCATGTCACAAAAATTTGCTGAATATTTAATTTTTGGTAGATGACTTTGCCCACAGCAAATCTTAAAACTAGACAGGTTCGGTATTCTTTACCTTTTCCTCCCTTTCTCTTCTCAGCCTTCCTTTCTCTCCAGGTTTGCAGCCAAACAGGGTAGGAAGGATTTAAGTGGCCTCCTTTCCCTAGCCTGAAGCTCGGGACATCTGGGGAGAAAATTACAGAGTCTGGTGGGAAGAGGCGGGACTTCCCGGGCTGCGGGCTCCAGCAGGAGAAGGCCCTGCGGGCGCGCACGCGGAGAGGAAACAGGCCTGAGGGGCAGCGGAAACAGCGTCCGAAGCCGGTGTGGAGGCGGAAGAGGGTCGCGCGCAGCGGAAGGTGGGCTACAAGGGGCGGAAGAGGGTCTCCGAAAGCGGAAAAGGAAGTGAGAGCGAGGGGGTGTAGGCCCGTGTGTGCATAGTGAGTGGCGGTGGGGCTTCGTGCCAGTCCACGGACACCGTTCCGCCCGAGCGTGCTGTGGCGTGATGGGGGCGTGGAGCGCCTTCGCTGGCGAATCCCGAGCAGCCGCCGCGCCGGGCTGCGCGCCGACGCACTGCGCAGGCGCACTGCCCCCTGCCGGCCCTCGGAGGGAGTGCAGGCGCCGCGTAGGTGGGCTCTTGAGGTCCCCGAGGTCTCCGGGAAGATTCCCGGCGCGTTGCCGAGAACGTGGGAAAATCGCGACGTTGGCACTTGCAGAGGACGAGAGAGTTTGAGCTCAGCTCTCTAAGTTGATTTCTGTACGCTCGGGAATCCCAGTGAGAACTTAGGTAATGTTCAGTGGGATGTCTGTACTGCCTAGCTGTGAGCTAAACTACCTTGCTTATTTTAAACATTTCCTACGTATTTGTTTCGTGATGCCAGCTTTTCAGCAACGGAAGAAGAGCGGACCAACTTTGGCGGGTGTTAACTAAAGGTATCTTAGCCCTTCCCTACTTTTGTCAAATCCCCAGCAGTCACTGACTGGAAAGGCTTCCCGAGGGACGTGACAGTACTTTTTGTCTTTCTGTCTTTGACATCTGATTGTATAAAGTGCTACTACTTTCTCTTGTTCTGGGTGCTACAGGTATAGAGATATGACCAAGACTCATCGAAGACTCGCACTGAAAAAAACACCCTCACAGGGGCACTGTCAAGTAGAAATGGGAAACCTCGGGAGTGGAGAGAGAATGGGGCATGGCAACAAAACAGGTTTCTTTTGTTTGGTTTTGAACACCTATTTGAACTGTGACTTGAAAGTCAATTAGCAATTGGCCGGCTGGAGCGATGAACATTCCAATAAGGCAAATAGAGTGAGGCGATGATCATTACAGTAAGGCAACTGGGTGAGTTAGAATAAGGACGCGGATGGATGGTGAGTTTGCTCGTGGTCAGGTTCTTAAGCCTACCAGATTGTTTTAAACAAAAATCTTGGAAATTGCTTTTTGCCAGGCACTATTCTCAGCAATCCAGGTGCCTTCTTGGGAACTAAATTTTTTTAGTGGGACGTTTTGTCAAAAGAAACAGTCATGATAGTGTTCGACATAATCACAAATGTTGGTAGTGGAGATGGATTTTATGTACAGTAGGGAATTAAAGAACATGACTTGGGATTTCTGAAATTCAAACAAAAACCTGTAACGTGCTGAAATTTGGGATGACAAAAACCAAGATTTGAGGACTTGAAAGTTGTTTTCTTGGGTATGGGGAGAGGTGTGGGTGGCATGTGGAACTTGAAACAGTAAAGCTAAGAAGTATATAATTGAAAACTTGAAAAACAGGTTGTGTATTTCCTTCTAAAGTACCTTCTGGTTTCACTTTGTTTCCTTCCTTCCTCATGCTAATTGTTTAAGATATGAATTATGTTAGTTTTCTAGACCCACTTAATGATTCCGGTGCGATGTTTAACTTTTCTGGACTTTTAATGAGAACTTAGCATGTAAGAATTGGAGAGGGAAACCTTTGGTCCCAGGTGCGAGTCTTCGATGAGTCTTGGTCATATCTTTATACCTGTAGCACCCAGAACAAGAGAAAGTAGTAGCACTTTATACAATCAGATGTCAAAGACAGAAAGACAAAAAGTACTGTCACGTCCCTCGGGAAGCCTTTCCAGTCAGTGACTGCTGGGGATTTGACAAAAGTAGGGAAGGGCTAAGATACCTTTAGTTAACACCCGCCAAAGTTGGTCCGCTCTTCTTCCGTTGTTGAAAAGCTGGCATCACGAAACCAGGCCAGAGGTGCTTTTCAGCTTTGCAGTGGCTGGACAGTGATGGTGCTCAGCTGGAATGATACGCTTGTTGTCCTACCATGTGACGCGATTCAGATTTTTACCCCGTGGAGAAAGTTTTATAAAATTGTAACTGCCTCACACATTTTCATTGCCTTGTGTTCCAGGATAACAAGTCTATGACTATACTTCTAGGTACTGTACTGATTCAGAAATGTCTGTTATCTTAGCATCTGAATCTTAAACTCCACTTATATTTTTAGATAGTACACAAATTAATTGGCATCTAATATCTTATCACTTTAGCACCTAGCCATCCTCTATCTTTAAGAAAGATACACTGCTGGAGCTGAAGTTCCAGCTGGGAAACAAACTCAGGTTCTATGGAAGAGGGGTAAATGATTTTAACCATTGAGCCATTTCTCCAGCCCAGACTATTGTGCATTTTAGTTTGTGTGGTTAGAATTGGGATGAAAGTATGCAAAACAAGCTATTATCAAATTGTTAAGACTTGAGTTCAAATTGTTAAAACTTAAGTTTGTGTCAGTGGGTCTAGCAGACTTGAGCTGTACTTTGCACTATGCTGGTGTAGACAAGGAATGTGAAAGGAGTATGGAAAAGAAGAGTCAGTGTTGGGAGAGACACAGAGTAGAGAAAGAAGAGAAAAATATGGAATTAATAGAGGAATGGGTGCATGTCATAATAGAAGGCTTTCTAGGAAAAGCCTTTCTAATGAGGCAAAGCAATGCATTGCATAAATATTTACATGTTTAGTGATTTGATGGTAAGGAGGCATGATCTGATACCACTTATACTAACCATGCTAGAGTCCCCAGATGTTGGAGGGTGAGACAATATTCCTAGATAAAGTAAGCAGATCCCTTACCACTAGAAAACAAATATACTAACCTATAATAACAATTGAAATGCCAATGTTTTTAAGCTGTTATATTTTATACTTTAATTTCTTTTTTCATAAACAAAGCATTATAAAAAGGTAGACAAATTAATATTCTTTCAGCAACCACCTAAATTCTGATCAAGTTTTCTTAGAGCTCTTATTTGAAGTCATGACCAGTGTGGGGAAGATCAGAATTTTTGCTTCAAACTAATTTCTTAGTTGAGTTATTTCTTCATACTTGATCATACTCAGGAGCATACGAAACATTCACAGAGCACACACAGCCTGCGTAAGAGCAATAAACTCATTAGGCTTACTTCTGGATGTGTAGGCCACTCAACTTTTCAGTTTGAGATTTTGATCTCGAGATTTCTAGACTGAGAACAGGTCCAGCAGAACCATGGCACTTATTCTGTGTGGCTTTCTTAGAGTGAGCAAGTAAAGGCAGCTCCAGGGGGCTTTCCCCAAAATATAGAGGGTATTGTGGAGAGTAAGACTGGGCAGTGGAGAAGAAACAAAGGATAGAATTAAGCAAGCCATATTAGCAGTACCAGTAGAAACAGGCACACATTGTTTCTTCCTACAGAGAGCTCAGATTCAGTCTATGTGGAAATGAGTAGGATGACACAGGTCAAGACTGGGTTTCCTCAATTAAGTTTTCTAATAATTTTTGGTATTTACTGGTTGATTGTCTCTGGATCTGAAAGAATCTTAGTCCTAACGCATAACATCCATTAGCCTTGTAAGAGAAAAAGAAAATTATTGATATGTGTAACATGTTAATATAGGATAATATTAATAGTCACTTTTAGGGAGAAATTTAGACATTCTGTTTTGAAGTAATGGGTCAAAAAGAAAGGAGGGAAATATTTTAGGATTGGGAAGTAATGTAGCCTGTTACATTTGTGAGACTGGTTAGTTGGTTCATTATATAATGTTATATATATATATATATATATATATATATATATATATATATATATAACACATATGTATATATAATGTGTATGTATGTATATGGAGGTCATGAGAGAGAGCTTTGAATATGATGTTTTGTTAGTAGAAAGGCATTAAGAATAATCTCAATTGGATTATAGGGACATCCAGGTCTCAATAAGGCCTGAATTAGAATTAGAAGTGTCGAATTTGTTAGGTTACAGACTTTAGGGAAGCTGTGAGCACTAGAAAAATCATCTGTAGCATTCAATAAAAAAATACATTAATACATACACACACACCACACACACACACGCACACACACACATGCACACACACACTCACACAAAGTTTTCTGAGAAACTGTCCCTGGGGGAGATGCAGTAACACAAATGTCTGCTCTGTCCATACAGAGAACCAATAACAAACCAAAGCAATAATCCACAAAAGTCCGGGTTGGTGAACTAGTGCATCGATTGGGTCCCTTACAGGGGCAGGAACGACTCAATGGTGGTTGCGTCACTGAAAGCCCGCCCCAGCATGGGTAAACACTTACAAAAGCTGGAACCTTGAAGAAAAATGTGTGATTAAGTACCCTGGTCTACTTAACACTTTATCTTAATTTTTTTTTTTTTTTAAACTGGAGCTTACCTTCATTAGAGAGGTTTTCACAATTCAAGAGAAAGGCATATTATTATATCTAGATATAACAGTAGAAAAATAAGAATGAATTTGTTTTTGTTTTTTTTTAATTGGGACAACTGCATACTTCTCTCTTTTCTAGAAATGGCGAAAAGTCTTTTGACTTCATCTCTGTCTGTAAGAACAAAACTGCTACAAACTGGGGTGTCACTTTACAATACCTCTCATGGCTTCCATGAGGAGGAAGTGAAAAAGATACTGGAGCAGTATCCTGGTGGAACCATTGACCTTCAGAAGAAAGAAGATGGCATTGGCATTCTGACACTGAACAACCCCAATAAAATGAATGCTTTCTCAGGTATGAGCATTCTGCCTTCTCCAGCAAGAGAATGCCTCTAAGTCATAGCCTGCTGTCATGGTTTTTCTGGTCTTACCCTGGTGAAAAAATTATTTGAAAGTCTTGGTATTTGTTGTAGATTATATACACACAGAAACACTTTTCTATGATGTGAACCGGAAATATATTTTTATAATTATACATATGTTAATTTTTTAAAATCATAAGTATACATCTTGATAAAGATGGACACTAGTAAATCAATATGTTTTTCCATTGGGCTATGTTAACCAATACTACTTTGATATGTTTACTATCAACTAGTACTTCTAGGAAGGCAGGAGAAAGACATTTCAAAGATTTTCTGTAATTTTTTGTAACTGCCATTGTTAGTTTATACCCTTGCCTACAAATGTATTTTTTGAAATTATAATTCCATTATTCCCTCTTCCCTATTTTCCTTTCATATCCTCCCATATACTCCCTTGTTTTCTTTTAAATTCATGACCACCTTTTTCATTGTTTGCATGTGTGTGTGTGTGTGTGTGTGCGTGTGCGTGCGTGCATGCACGCATGCCTGTATGTGTGTACGTGTGTCCCTAAATATATAAGTGTACCCCGCTCAGTCTGTAGGATGTTGCTTGTCTGTGTATGTTTTAGGGCTGACCACTTGGTATTGGACTAATCAAGTGCTCTCACCTGGGGAAGATTTTTCTTCTGCTTTGATATTCCTTAATCACCTCTAGTTCTTTGTGTGGGGTACTGTCCTCATGCACTTTCCCTTTTCTACACTGGCAAGTCTATTGGTGTCGTCCTTGTTCAGGTCAAATTTAGGGAAGTATGTTAGGATACTTCATGGGTATAGCTTCTGACATTTCTAGAAGACATAGCCACAAAGCAAACTTCTTCTTCCTCTGGCTCTTAGAATCTTTTCACCCCTTCTTCCACTATGTCCCTAAACCTTAGGTGCAGAAGTTGTATTGTAGATGTATCTGTTGGGACTAGGCTACACAACTCTGCATTTTGATTGGTTGTGGTTTTCAGTACCCCTCACTCTCAAATTAATAGCATCTTTTTCTTTTTTATTATTGTTACACTCACATGTATAGATATATAAGTATAAACTGCTGTGTCCATTTTTGCTGTTTGTATGTATATGGTGTCAGTGATGACAGCTTTGTATTGGGCTCACTCTGGGAAGCTAACTTTCGCTCTCTTGGCAGTAATTATTTGCCTTTGTTCTTTGTCTAGGGGTAGGACTGTGTCCTTCCATGTTAGCGTGTCTGTTGATATTGCCTTTGTTCAGGTCTTGTTTATGCAACCATTTCTAGTAAATGGTAAATGCTGTTTCACAGCAGCCATCCTGGTATTTTCTCTCTGACCATCATTCCACCCCCTTTTACCAGGTATTCACTGAGCCAGATGTGCAGGAGCTCTGATGTAAATGTATCCACTCTGGTTGGGCTCACTGCAATCCATTGATCTCTGCTTTGTATTTGATCACTTGTGATTTTCTGTGTGGTCTCCATTGGTTGTAAGGAGACTTTTGTTTTGTTTTTGTTTTATGAGAGGTAGTAGCTACGTTTGTCTGTGGGCATAAGGATAAGATTTAGAATGTAGTGAGTAATTATTCTGGTGTAGCAAAGTGGTGGAAGTAGATTTTCTAAGGTCCATGACTTACTACTGCCAGGAATTTGGTAAGTTTCTCTACCAGACATGTTGAGTAGACCTTAAGGCCAAGTAGATGGTTGCTGGTTAACACCAATATTTGAGTGCCCCTCACTGTACCTTCAAGAATGTCTTGCCATCCCTGTCATTGTGGTTCACAGATGCCATTGCTGGGTAGAACTATTAACTGTTTTTTTCCTTTGGCAGCTTTCAGAATGTTTTCTGGTATCATGGATATTAGACCACAGGAAGGAGGCTTTCATGTTAGATCCAGCTCAAATAGTCTGAGTCCTGTGTCCTAAGTCCAGTGTATTCAGCATTATGGGCTTACCCTCAGTGTTTGAAAGACAACCAAAAGCAATACCAGTAGTCTACGTTGTTTCAGGAGTCGGTTGGATGAACCTGACCAGCCATTTAGTCATTTAGAGCTTTCTCGAGCCTGGTACTGATTCTTATGGGAAACATTATCAGCCCAGGAGGCATAGTTTCCTTTATATATACTGTGTGTGTGTATGATACACTTATATGCATTATGTATAATTTTTGGTAAGTATAAAATAATAAGATTCCTTAAGGATTTATCAAACAACATTGTTCCTTCTCCTCCTTCCTTCTTCTGTATTGACCTCCCTCCACCCTCTGTAGTTGCCTATTTTTCTGCTTTCTACTTTGTATCACCTATATCTTGCTATTCCCCTCTCAATTCCCACAGCACCCATGTTTCTCCATGTTGTATACTTGTATTTGAAGTTTTGGAACTAGAAACTGCAAATGAGAAAGGACATGTGACATTTGTCTTTCTCAGTCTGGGAAGAGTCAATATCTTTTCTAGGTCTTCTGGTTACCTGTACATTTTGTGATTTCATTTATATTTAAGGCTGAATTGTATTGTAGTATGTATATGTACCACATTTTCATTTTCACCATCTGTTGAAAGACATTAGGTTTGTTTTTGTTTTTTCCAATTTCCTAGCTGTTGTAAAAAGGGTGGCAGTGTACATGGCTGAGCAAGTATCTGGAGTAGGATTTAGTATTCTTTGGGCATATGCAAAGGAGTGGCATAGCTGGGTCGTGGTAGATTTATTTTTAGTTTTTTGAGAATTGTTCATACTGTTTTCCAGAGTGGTTGCACACGTTTGCATTCTTCTAGCATTTCAAATGTTAGGCTCAGGAGTATTTCAAGAAATGGTATGTGTTTACACATAATTCATTAAGCTGTGGACTGTTAGTTTCCAGTACTGGGCCTTTATGTAAAAGCAACTTTCATAATGTTTACAGAATTCAGAGCTCCTTGTATATAGCAGTGGTGACCAGCACAAATAGAATACCAGACACAAATGAGATTCATGTGCAGTGTTAAACATTCTAGCAGCCATCATTTAGAAAGCAAAGCCAAATAGGTAAGCTTAAGTATAATAATATAATCCATGCAACTTCCTTTATTCAAAATATTTTCAATAAAAATAACTAATAGGAGAAATGCCATGTGAGATTCTTTTCCTTTTATTTTCATAGTACGTCTTTGAAATCTGTTATTACATTTGGTGCATATCTCAATTGACCATCCAAATGTCAAATGTTCAAACTTTTTATGTAATTAATGGTGGTGGTTCCATACACTAAGTTATTTAGGGAAAGTATTAATTTGATGCATAATGTGCAAAACAAATAAAAGCAGAGTTGCTGTGAGTAATGGTGTTGTGTTAGCTGAGGTGGGGAGATAAGTGAACCCCCAATGCCTTTGCTTAAAAAGCTCAAAGCAGCAGATACTCTAAGGAATTTAGTGCTAAGGCCTCCTCCAGCTCTTAAGATTTACTGTACTAAGTGAGTTTTAAATGAACTAGTAGTATTGTTTTTATATTCGTGGCCACCATTATTGCTTACGCACTTAAATATCATGCATAATTGAAGATGTGTATTTGTCTATATATATTTATCTTTACTCTAAATGTATAGATCTTTGTTTTCTCCCAAACAATAAATAGTTTGTATGTAAAAATAATTTTCAAGTACGCAGGACATTCTTGAGAAGTTTCTATTTTAAGTAGGTTATAATTAGGAAGGATGATTTTGTTAGTTATTCGTGAGTTGATAACATTGTTCTCACATTTCTTGTAGTACCCATTGCTACTAATTACTTGAAAAATGGCAGAGTAATGATTATTGACCATGTGGAATATTTCTTCAAAAATATGTCTGTATATTTTTATGGATCCGTGTAGTAAGGCTTGGAAAGAGTACAGATTCTTTGGAAATTATAACCTTTAGATATGATCTTTTCTTTGGCTTCTAATTTTATTTTTATAGATACAAGAAAATAAAATTAATCATATTGCAGATATTATGACCTTAGAAGATAACCAAAGATGTATATATATATATACAGATTATTCATTAGCACCTCAAATGCCATTCCTACTGTTTCAAATTTTAATTTATTGTTAGAGGAAGTGTGGGTAGAATTTTGTAATCCTGTGATAACGATCAAATGTGTAAACTATTGACTTGACTGCTGGTGGACACATGAAGCTCTTTCCTATTGTGCCTCAGGGATGTCAGCTTGTCAGCCATGTCATCAATCTATTCTGTGTTTATTAGCTCTTTCCAGGCCTAACTGAAGTCTTACTTGCCCTGCTGGAAAGAGGGTTAGAAAACTACTTTGTTCCATATTTCTTTATTTCTGGTATATCATAAAATCTCACAGTCATGTTATGCTCGTAAAACTTGTTGCGCTTGTTCCCTGAGACAACATGTATTTGCTGTCTTTACCATAGAAGTATTTTTTCCTTATTGCTGTGTCCAACATTATATATCCCAATTTTTTTATTCTTAAGACATGTATGATGCATTCTTATTTTTCTATCTAAATGCATTTGTCTGGTTTCTTCAGATACATTGAGAAATGAATTTAGAATTTTAAGGTAGGGTGTGTTTTATATATCTTGTTTTATATACCACTGTATCAGCACAATAGATATTTGGCATATACACAGTAAGTAAATATTTGGAAAATATATGTCCCCATGATCTTGCTTGGGACATGAATATTTCTGGTTTTAGTGTCTTAACATATGTTCATGTTTTTCCTCTCTCATCTGATAGGTGTCATGATGCTACAACTTTTGGAAAGGGTGATTGAATTAGAAAATTGGACAGAAGGGAAAGGCCTCATTGTCCATGGAGCAAAAAATACTTTTTGCTCTGGATCCGATCTGAATGCTGTGAAAGCCCTCTCCACTCCAGAGGCAAGTATGTAGGCTATGCACTGAAGGTTCTTTCATCAGACATGGCTGAGAAAGTCATATTTCACTTATGTGGCTATTGTTATAACTCATATTTGTTAATAGCCTTCAAACAATAGTTTTGGTTTGGTTTGTTTATTTTATTTAATGAGAAATTGTAAAAATTTGTAAGGAGAATAATATAGGAAACCAAATGAATGTTAAGGTCTTACCTACAGGGTATCTAGAAGACATTTTGGTTGGCACATTGAACTGACTTATCTTTGTGCTTCAAGCAGAGCACTCTTGGGTGTGCTCATGTTTTTGGAGATGGGTGTCTTTTGCTTTCAGTATTGTTCCTGCTACTCCCCACTGGAAGTGTCCACTCCAGTGCCCACTCTGCTACTCCCGACTGGAAGTGCCCACTCTTCTTTTCTAATTTGATTGAATATTTTTAAACACAAATTTAAATTTTAGAATAATGTTAAGATTTGAAAAAGTTGCAAGAATAGTATAGAGTTCACCATACATGTCCCCTATGCCCTTTGTTTTAGCATATTCCTGTGCTATAAAGATTTATCAAAAGTTTATGCACAAACATTGGTATTTTACTGTTAATGAAACTCCACTGTATGATTTCATAAGTGGGTTCTCTAGTAGTGAAGCTCATGAAAGCACAGAGTGGAGTGGTGACTTGACAGGTAGTAAGGATAAAACATGGGGACTTTATTAGTGCTAGAGCTTAGTTTCCTAGCAGTATCTATACTGAGCAATGCTATAGTATACCCATAAGTATTTTAAAGTTGATGATCTTCCACCGAGTGTTCTCACACGCCCCTCCCCAACACTGATGATAAAGGGAGTGGGAGACAATACTAGAATTGGTGGATATACCTACAGCCCCAATGGGTGCTGATAGTTGAATTGGTGATCATTTGCAAACTCAAGTTGTGCACATTAGATATGTACTTATTTTTACATCTCAGAGTGGTGTGAAAGAGGAGAGAGGAAATAAATTCCATAAATTATTGGTATTGGTAGTTCTATTGTGTCCTTGTTGTGCTTTGGAACAGATTTAGGAGTCATCAATATTCCTTAGGTCTCTAATCTGTGAAAGTTCCTCAAGCTCTGTGTGTGTGCCTGTGTGCATGTGTATAGACTTACTCTGGAGCTCAGACTGTCCTGGAACTTTATATATATTATGTGTTCAGAGACTCAAATCTCTGAAATCCTCCTGCCTCAGCCTTCTGAGAGCTGGGATTATAGGCACGAGGCACCACAACCAACTTATTTTTGGGTAAAATTCAGAGGAGTTACATAATGCTTGTAATTTTTAGGGTATTTTCTCACATGATAATTTTAAAACTGACAAGTAGAAATTGTGGCTTTGTTCTAGAGACCTTGAGAAATCTCTTCTTAGAGTTAAGAAGGAGTCTTGTTTGTTTGTTGTTTTTAATTTTATTTTTATTAATTACAGTTTATTCACTTTGTATCCCCTCGTAGCTTCCTCCCTCTTCCCCTCCCAATACTCCCCTCCCTCCCTCTTCTTCTCCTTTGCCCCTCCCCCAGTCCACTGATAGGGGAGGTCCTCCTCCCCTTCCATCTGACCCTAGTCTATCAGGTCTCATCAGGACTGGCTGCATTGTCTTCCTCTGTGCCTGGTAAGGCTGCTCCCCACTCAGGGGAGGTGATCAAAGAGCCAGCCCCTATGTTCATGTCAGAGACAGGCCCTGTTCCCATTACTAGGGAACACTCTTGGACACTGAGCTGCCATGGGCTACATCTGTGCAGGAGCTCTAGGTTATCTCCATGCATTGTCCTTGTTTGGACTATCAGTCTCAGAAAAGACCTCTCTGCCTAGATATTTTGGTTCTGTTGCTCTCCTTGTGGAGCTTCTGTCCCCTCCTTGTATTTCTGTCTTTCCCTTCTTTCATAAAATTCCCTGCACTCTGCCCAAAGTTTGGCTATGAGTCTCAGCATATGTTTGGGTACAAGAAGGAGTCTTTTTAACTCTTTTTAGAGTTCAGAGAAGTTTACAGTTGTAAACTTGTATAGGAAAGTACAAAGGTGCTTACTTTGCAGCAAGTGGGCATAATATATTTAAGGAAATTGTCACAGTCTTAATCTAGTTTGAATGTCCTCCTTTCTCCCTTGCCTCATTATGTTACTATTCTGCCAACTAATTGCTTAGGTCATTGCTTCAGTGTCTATAGTGGCCCCCAAATGTCTGTGTAACTGCTTTGGGTTTGTTGCTATTCTTGTACAATTTCATTTTAGCTATAGTAATATATGGACAAATTACTATTTTCCAAAATTGTTTCAGTATATTTGGAATTCATCAATCCATAAAACGGATACTTGTGGTCATAGAATAGGATACTTTGCAAGACGGGAGTTTTTGTAGTAAAGATGGGTGCTGGTGCAGAGAATGCGAAGCTTGTCTTTCTTTTGTAGTTGGGTACTGCACGTGATTGTCTTGGTTGTTATTAGGAGAAGCTAGAAGGGTGAAGTTGGATCTCAGGGTACAGACAGGTGAAAACGACATCTGTGGCAGCTCTCTATACCTTTGTTCGGCTGCCTGTACCCAGACATTGGCAGGTTTGTCATTTCTGTGGTGATTCCATGGCTATTTCCTCCACTTACCTACCAGTATTTCTTCCTTCCTTCCTTCCTTCCTTCCTTCCTTCCTTCCTTCCTTCCTTCCTTCCTTCCTTCCTTCCTTCCTTCCTTTAATTTTTTAAAAAATGTGTAAGGGTATTTTATCTGCATGTATGTCCGTGTTTCACTTCCATGTCCAGGGAGGACAGAGCAAGGCATTTGATCTCCTGGAACGGGAGTTAGCAGATATTGTGAGCTATAGTAGGTGGTGGAAACTGAACCCTGGTCCCTCAAGGAATAGCCAGTGCTCTTAACTGCTGGGTCCTGTCTCTGGTCTCTGACTTCTTTTCTTCCTTCAACTCAGGAAAATATAAGTGAGTGTTTGACCTTGTGGCTTTGGCAGAATTATTATTAATTCTTCCTCCTCTCCCCCCTCCTGTTCTGCTTCTTCATTTTTGTAGTATAGTTCAGGGTGGCCTTGGACCCACAGAGATTCCCCTGCCTCTGCTTCCCAAGTGTGGGGATTAAGGTGTGTGCCACCATTCCTGACCAAATTAAATCTTATCCCTAGGTCATTCGGGCCAGTATTGATTTGTATGTTATGACACATTCATAGTAAAAAAAAAAAAAAAAAAACAGTTATTACATTCTGTGTTTGTCATTAGTATTGGTAGTATACTGTCAGCCTCAAGGAACTTTAGTAAGCTGAGTTAAGGGAGAAAATTGGAGACAAGCAATCACAGTGACAGGAAAACAAGCAGGAGTAAAACCTGCTCTTAGAGATAGAGAACCAGAATGAAGAAACTGGTGTTAAGTTGAAGAGAAGATGATAAGGAATAAGAAAAAGTCATTTAATTTGACAAATGGAGTACTAAAATGTTTTGGGACAAGGCTGAAGCCGATTATACTTGGTTGAAGAAGGTATGGCTGTGAGAAAATATGTAGTTTGTGAAAAATCTAGGAGTCAAAGCCTTAGAGGGCAAAATCCCAAAGCTCTTTATAACTTCTTCCTAGTGGGAGCAGGGGGGAGAGTCACGTTTCCCCCAGGTTACCATGAGTGGAGCTCACTCTATTCTCGGAAGCTGTAATCGTCATTCTTGGTTGTCCACTTGGTAGGGTTTAGAGTCACCATGGAAATAAACCTTTGGCATTCCTGTGAGAAGTTATGTAGATTGAGTTAGCTGGGATGGGAAGAACACCGAGAATTTGGGTGACGCTACTCCACAGGCTGGGGTCCCGGTCCTGGTGGAAAGCAAGCAGGCTGACTCAGCTCTGTCTCCTGACTGAGGGTATAGTGTTCCAGTTGCCTCGTGTTCCTGCTGCCGCTCCTCCCTTGCCATGACAGACTAAACATTATTTTGCCAGATCCCCCCTCCCTTCCTTCCTTGAAATTTTGTCCTTGGAACTTTTGCCACATCAGAGAAAAATAAGTAATTCAGGTTACTGTCTGTCTCACCTTGTGCCACACTGAGCTCAAGATCTGGGAGGGTGACACCCTCAGCACCAAGTATACTTCAGCCTCAGAGAGTTTGAAATGAAAACTGATTTTCAGAAAGATCAGCCTTGTTCTCCAAATCTGAATTTTAAAAATATTTCTTATGTAACATACTCATATTTTTGTCTTTATTTTTCTTTAAAGAATGGAGTGGCCTTATCTATGTTCATGCAAAACACCTTAACAAGATTTATGAGGTAATGTATCTTTCTTTTAAAAATAGGATTTTAGTGGTCATTACCAAGGCTTTTAGAATGCATTTTCTCAACCTGCTGAGGACATTTTATGGTGATGAGTAACTAATGATAGGAAGCTGGCTGCAGAGTCACCGGAACTAGAGTTATGGATGATTATTAGCTACCATAGTGGGTACTGGGGATTGAACCTGGGTCCGCTGCAAGAGAACAAGCACTGTAAGCCATCAGCCCTTTCTTTCTTCTTGATTTTTGTTTGTTTGTTTGTTTGTTTGTTTTTGAGGCAGGGTATTATGTAGCCCATTTTGGCCACAAACTTACTGTTAGTTATGGCAGACCTTAAACTCCCCTGCTGGCATCTTCTAAGTGACTGGATTATATGTGTGTAGTACCACATCTGGCTAGAAGTTATTCTCATTTAAGTAATCTTTTCTGTGTGGAAGTAGGGCATATTAAGAACTACTTAGTCATATTAGACCAAGAGCTTTACATTTTGGTTAGAATCTATAAAAAAATGCATACTTGGAAAGCACCTTTCATCTACCTAGTGGTGTCACACCATTGCAAGATGACTTATTTTTATGTTGTTATCTTTTAAGACAAGGTCTCACTATATAGTCCTTGCTGTGCTGGAAATCTCTAGACTTAGAGATCCACTTGTCTTCGCCTGTCATGTGCTGGGATTGAAGGTCTTTACTGACGGCCTCCACGTGTGGCCCTGTACAAACAGAAGCAGTAAGATTTCTTTTAAACACTAAATAATGCATACATGTGAGCAGCCTGTGGCCATTTAAATAGTAATGGAACTCTTTTGACGGGAATCTTAAATACTTGATATTGTAGCTCTGTGTTTAGACAGAGTTCTCCCTGTAACCCCAGCCTGACTGTAGAACCATAAAAGAGAGCAGGTTCACAGTGACTGTGCAAACAGCTGGAGAGTCTCTGGCACTCAAGGTTCATCATAGGTTCCTAATTCAGAAGACAGAGTGTGTCTCACTGTAAACCAGGCAGCAGTCCAGGCAGGTAGTTCGCTCACCTTCTGTAGCACTAGTGTGAGCGGCTGGATTTTGGCATCATCGATTTTTCTTCTGGTGGTGCACGGGTTCAGAGAGTCTCTGTCCTTGATGCTGCCCAGTATTAACACCATGACATGCTGAAGACTTAAGATGATATATAGAAATGAATAGTAAAGTTAGAATTACTCACATCCGTTTTTCCTTCAATGTACAGACTACCGTTAATAAGTGTTGCTCTGATTCAAGGCTGGGCAATGGGTGGAGGAGCAGAATTTACTACAGCGTGTGATTTCAGGTGAGATAAAAATTGCATTGCTACGGGCATAAACATAATTAGCACTTGGATTTAGTTTTACCTTAATTTCAATATTTCATATATTCTTGAACAAGATAATAAATGAACGGTTTCTTTTTAACAGTCATTGAAGTAGCTCATTTTAGCTTAGTGCAGTTATTATTAATAAGTTATAATTCATATATAAAAACGAAATATGGTGACTTTTAATAAATCAAATCCATATCAGCGAAGTTGCTAAGAAGGAAAGTCAAAGAGATACATGAAACTCTAAATCCAAGAGAATTATTCAGGAGTTAGCAACTGAAAAACGTAAGAAGAGGAGAAGCCAGGCTGTGGTGGAGCATGCCTTTAGTCCCAGCACTTGGGAGGCAGAGGCAGGTGGATGTCTGTGATTTTGAGGCTAGCCTGGACTACAAAGCAAGATCCAGTACAGCCAGGGCTACACAGAGAGAAATCCTGTTTTGGGAAAAGATGGAGGGTTGGGGGGAGGATTGAGAGAGAGTGGAAAGAAGGAAAAGAGAGGAGAGGAGAGGAGAGGAGAGGAAAGGAGAAAGGAAAGGAAAGGAAAGGAAAGGAAAGGAAAAAAAGGAAAGGAAAAAAAAAGGAAAGGAAAAAAAAAGGAAAGGAAAGGGAAAGGGACACAGATTCTACTGTGCCTGTCTTCTTATCAAGAAAGAAATTCCCTGAGATCCATTCTTTTCTGAGGTCCATGTTTTCACTGTCTGTGATATAATAAAGCAGCTTTATAGATGAGAGAACAGAGAGACAGGAAATTCTGGGAGCTGGGAGCTTTTTCGTTGAGAATGGTTTTCAGCTTTTAATAGCTAGGTACAGAGGTCATAAAATGTGATGCTTTGCACAAGCATCTTAGTGCTGTCCCAAGGACTGTGGGAACAACTGAGGAAACCACTGTAATTTTCTTATATGCTTGTTCCGAGAGCCATACAAATGGAGTAAGACAGTATTGGACTGTTCAGTATTGACAGCTTTGAGAAATGCCTGGAGCTTTAACATATAGCAGAGAATGGTGTTTGCAAGAAAGTTAGATGCTTTATTTTTAAAAATACACTTGATCCTTTTACAGTTCAAAAATGGTTTGTATATTGTACCTAGGATGGGAGGACAGCAGGGAGCCTGAGCCTGGCACCAGATAACACGGGTTTGCACTCTGTTGGCTCCTTTTACTTGTTGGACTTGGGAAAGCAGCTATTTTAACTTTTTATGTTTACCTTAAATATTTAGATACATTTCAGTGAGGTCATGAATATATATATATATATATATATATATATATATATATATTTTAGCATAAAGCTTAACCTTAATGTACACAAAATATTAAAATAGTCTTTAAATTACCTTCTCTTACCACCATTTTTTTTTCTAGTAGAAATGTCAATAAAATATTTGTCATCCTTTAAAACTACTCTTTGTTTGGTGTACTTTCAGCATTAGGACTAATCTTGGTCTTATTTTGTTTTTTAAAAGTGTAAAACTTTGTAGCAATACAATTTACATATTAAGTAATGCTTACAGAATGATTTGGTATGATTTTAAACAGAACACAAGTTCAAGTCCTAAAGTCCTCCCCCAGAATGCACATTTTTAAAAATCACTTTTTTCTTATATTTATTTTATGTTTATGAGTGTTCTATCTGCATGTACCACCTACATGCCAGAAGAGGGCATCAGATCACATTATAGATGGTTGTGAGCTACCATGTGATTGCTGGGAGTTGAATTCAGGACCTTTGGAAGAGCAGACGGTGCTCTTAACTGCTGAGCCACCTCTCTAGCGCTAAAATTCACCTTTTAAAAGGATTTATTTTATCTTTGTTTTTTGTATGAATGTTTTTCTTGCTTGTATGTGTTCCCACAGAACCCAGAAGAACATCAGGGCTCCAGGAACTGGAGTTAGGTCAGTTCGGAGCTGTGATATAGATGCTGGGAATCGAACTCATGATCTTGTCCAGAAGAATAAATGCTCTTAGCTGCCAAGCCATCTTTCCAGCTTCTAAAATCACTTTGTCTAAACGTGTTCATTCCTTCTTTTCTATTCATTGTGTAGAGTTCATCCTCTGAAATGTTGGCAAATATATTAAGAGAAAAGTTTCAGTCAATTTTTGACCCAATTTTCGATGGTAAGGACATCTGCTCTGGTAAATAGCATTTTGGATATTTCAGGTTATGTTGGTTAGAGTTATAAATGTTTTAAAAATAATCTTATATTTGCTCAGATAAATTACATCAAATGCACCCATTTTTTAAAAATTTATATTATATTTTATTTTTTATATTAATTTTATTTTCTTAATATTAATCACAGGTTATTTACTTTGTATCCCAGCCGTAGCCCCCTCCTTCCTTCCCTCCCAATCCCACCATCCCTCCCTCATCTCCTCCCTGTCCCTTTCAAAGTCCACTGCTAGGGGAGGTCTTCCTCCCCTTCCATCTGACCCTAGTCTATCAGGTATCTTCAGGACTGGCTACAGTGTCCTCCTCTGTGGCCTAGCAAGGCTGCTCCGCCCTCAGGGGGTGGGGGGAGGGAAAGGAGTCAGTCATTGAGTTCATGTCAGAAATAGTTCCTGTTCCCCTTACTAGGAATACCCTCTTGGATACTGAGCTACCATGGGCAATATCTGAGCAGGGGTTCTAGGTTATATCCATACATGGTTCTTGGTTGGAGAAACAGTTTCATAGAGGACCCCCATGCCCTGATATATTTTGTCCTTGTGGAGCTCCTGTCCTCTCCTGGTCATATTAACTCCCCCTTTTATCATGTTCCCTGCACTGTACCAAAGGTTTGGTTATGAGTCCCAGCATCTGCTTTGATATGCTGCTAGGTAGAGTTTTTCAGAGACCCTGTCCTGTTTCCCATGTCCCTCCCATTTGTCTTTCTAAGTGAGGATTGATCATCTTACCTGGGGTCCTCTTTCTTGTTTATCTTCTTTAGGTGCACATATTTTAGTATTTTTATTCTATCTTATAGGACTGTATAAGTGAGTATATATCATGTGTGTCTTTCTGCTCCTGGGATACTTCACTCAGGATGATCTTTTCTAGATCCCACCATTTGCCTGCAAATTTCATGATTTCGTTGCTGAGTAGTATTCCATTGTGTAAAAGTACCACAATTTCTGTATCCATTCCCCTGTTGAGGGACATCTGGGTTGTTTCCAGTTTCTGGCTATTAGGAAAAAGCTGCTACAAACATGGTTGAGCAAATGTCCTTGTTGTTTACTTGAGCTTCTTTTGGATATATGCCTAGGAGTGGTATAGCTAGATCTTGAGGAAGCACTATTCCTAAATGTCTGAGAAAGCACCAGATTGATTTCCATAGTGGTTGTACAAGTTTACATTCCCATCAGCAATGGAGGAGGGTTCCCCTTTCTCCACATCCTCTCCAGCATGTGTTGTCACTTGTGTTTTTAACCTTTCAAATGCACCCATTTTAATTGTGCAGTATAATAGAATTTTAATGGGTACATATAGCCATGTAACCCCACAGTTCAGATAGAGAAAAAAAAATTTTTTTTTCAGAAGTGTAAACTTCCCTATTTCTTACATTTCACTTCCTTGAAAATATGCTCACTGGTATCCACTAATAAACTTCTGCTATTGGGCTGTCCAGAATATTAAGGGTCTATTTTTACAATCTAGGTGAAGATTGCTTATTTGACAGTGTCTTTGGCCTCCCTGGAGAGCCAGCTGCCTCACACTGTGTAAACCTATTATTCCCATGTTCTTTTTTTTTTTTTTCTTGTAATTCTATATCTTATTCCTTGATCAGATATTTCCACAAATAACTTGACAACCAGGATAGAGAGGAGGCATTGAAGAGACTCGGGCCTGGGTTTAGGTATCACCACCACCATTTGCAGGTGATCTTAAGGCTTTTTTACTATTGAAAACTCAAGTTTCCTCCTCTGTAAAATGGGCATCATTGACCTGAGGCATGTAAAGGCTTTCTATCTAGTGAATAAAAGTTATTTTACAATTTACACTTATTTTAAAAATTGTCTATTTAGTTGTCTTTGTTCATTTATTGGTTCAATTATTTACTTGGGGAAATACAGTTTTGAGTTTGGTGTATGTTTGAGATTATCAGTGTCCTGTCAGATGAATATCTTGGGAAAGTTATATTCTGTTCTGTGGGTGGGTTTCACCCTGACAGTTGCATCCTTTGCATTACTGAGCTTTTGTATTTAATGCAGCCCTACTCATTAGTGTTTCCTGTGTCTCAAACATAGCAAACCATAGCTCTGTTCAGAAGAGCATTAGTTGTGCTGGTATCTTGAAATTCCTAAAGGAATCTCAAAGTCACGGGCCTTACATTGAGGTCTTTAGTTCATTTTAATTAAGTTTTGAGCAATGTAAGGATGTCCACTTTTTATCTTCTTCATGTGGGGGTAGCCAGGAATGAAATGCAGGCTGTGTCCTCTTTGTCTTTATATTGTCTTCTCAGCACACTTATTAGCCATAACATCATTTCTTCCTTGATTCCCAGTGCCTGTTTTTTTTTTTTTTTTATCTCCTCCAGCCCCTTTGGTTTTCATCACTTTTCTCATTTATAGAGTCCCAAATATGAGACCTCTGAAACATCAGCTCATGTCTTTCTTTTTTATTTTATTAGCAGCATGCTAATGAGTTTTGCTGTTATGTGAGGTGCGATCTTTCTGTGTAGGCAAGTGCAGATGAGCTGGGATTCTCTCCACCTCATCCTCCCAAATTCTGGGATTACACGATTGTACCTTTCTACACTTGGCTTTCAAAGAAAGATCATTTTTTTCTGGTATGGGATCTCATCAAGAATCTATTTTGTTTGATACATATATAGCCAGCCTTACCTTTTTGTGATTAACCTTTCTGTCTTTTTATATGTACCTGCTATATAACCAAGTGTAGATAGGTTACATGAATTAAGATCATACTTTCTTTTTTTGTTGGTACTAGGTACTGAATCATGGACACATTGGGCAGCTGCCTCCCACTGAGCT